CAAACGTATAGTGAGGGTCTGCTGGGAACGTCCGTCAGAGTCTCCCGTCAGAGGGAGCTTCAACTCACACCTCCGGGGGAACTTCGAACACGTTCCAGGGGAGGTGGGGGACATTGAGTCTGAGTGGGCCGTGTTCCATGCCTCCATTGTCGATGTGGCTTACTGAAGCTCTGGCCGCAAAGTTGTCGGTGCCTGTCGTGGTGGCAACCCCCAAACTCGCTGGAAGTAGGAGTCCTGTTGGGTCTTTTTGGCCTGTGGGACTTTAGAAGCAGCTGATGGGTACCGGCAGATTTTCTAGTCTTTTCATACCTTTTAGCTAGGCTAGATAAAAGGTAGAATATCAAAAGTCTAGATAAAAGTTAGATCTAAGTTTTAGCTAGCATTCCTCAAACCTCTCGTTAGTTGTGACTTTACCCGTTTCCCACCAGGTCGGACCCTGGGGCCGGTCTCTTCTCGGCGGGACATACGATTTTTGGATCTCCACAGTCCTTCTCATCGGAATTGTCGCCACAGTCGTTCTGATTATTGCATGTTAGCGTTGAGTTGATGCAGCGCCCTGAAACAGCAGGAACTCTAATAAAATCTGAACCAGGAGAACAGAAACGTTTCAGTTTCTGCAGAACAACAAAGACCGCTCACCGTTCTCACACTTGAAGTCATCACCACAGTCCACGGCGGGCAACTGGCACTGCTTGGACGGGTAGCAGGGCCTCTCCTCCGTTAGCTCCTCACTGCAGGTCGAGCCACCAAACTGGGACGGGATCAGGACGGACCGGGTCCGAAACTAAAACCAGAGAGAGATTTTTTTAAATGCATCTTTTTCCTTCTGACTCCAAGCAGTTGAGGCTGCCCGTTGTAGTGGAAATGTGAGTATCTTCTCAAGAGACAGTCCTGTTAACKCCACCTTTTTCATCCTGCCTGCAACATCTCAAAGTTTGAATAATGACTCCTGTTAAYTCATCTGATACTTCACCCTYAGRCCTTAGAASAAAGGCTAGACTTCCTGTCGCCAGTTAATTTGTTTATCACCTCTTTCAGAATAAGATTGGAATAAACATTGTTTGATATCAAAGGGCCCCTGATGTTAAACAAAGGCGAGACAGACACATCAAAAGACTCCCATCAGATTTATCTGTGGGTCAACAACGCCACCCTGTGGACATTTTATCTATTAACCCTGAAAATATTTTATTTATTTTTCACCCATGTTTTCCGTTTATAACTATAAAAAGCATCTGTGAAGTGTCAAAACAATACATTGGTACTCTGATTTAATTACTGTAATAATCATGACATTGTTTAGTAACTTGATCTGGTTTAATTAACTATCACTGTTGGTCTGTTACATGTCTGGAGGGTGTCATGTGACCACCGCAGAAAGTTTTAACCAATGAGAAGTTCCGTTGTGAACAGGGAGTATTTCATTGTTCTGCCATGTAGTGAGTTCTGAAGAAGTGTTTGAAGAGAAAGCAGTAGTTTTTTTAGCTCCAGCTTCCCCCATCCCGGGGCGAAGCCATTCTTTTCCACTTTTACTTTTTTTTGTATTTATACACTCACCGGCCACTTTATTAGGTACACCTGTCCAACTGCTCGTTAACACTTAATTTCTAATCAGCCAATCACATGGCGGCAACTCAG